GGGATACACGGGATGGAGCTCCGGCTGCTGGCTCCCGGCCATCTCCTGCACGTACAGCCTCCCCATGGCATTGGATGCCCCCATCATCAGCTTGAAAGGAGTCTTACATTCCGGCATCACGGAATTTGTAATTCCTTCGTGCGGTTTGTTCCTCGCCGACCGCGGAGTGGCTGCTCGAGTGGGAACTACCGGAGTCGCACCTGGTGTTACAAACACACAACCAGTCACTGTTTGGAAGTGCAGTTATCACAGGTTTCAGTGCGGAGCTACGCCGTGTGAGAACGTTCCTCAAAGCAAGGAGGCCTTTGGCTACACTTTCCACAGGAATGGAACCTCAGGCCGCTGGAAGGGCCTACCTTAAATTTAACACCCCATATAAACATGGACAGCTGGAAACCTTTCCCCTGCCCTTCTGCCTTCCCTAACCGTCACCTCCAGCATCCCACTCCTGGATTTCCAGCACCAGCCCTCTGGCAGGAGCAGGAAGTTGCTATCGCAGGGAAAAGGAGCCTCTGGCACCATCTATTGAGGACAGGAGGAACAAAGCCCAGCCAGGACTCAGGCTCCTTTCCCAGGTCCTGTCCCAAACGCTGGCCCTGATGAGGGATTCTGGATGCTTCAGGTGTTTGTCTGCAGGATAAAAGCCTTGGGGACATTTGCACACGTTGACACACGAACCCAAGGGAAAAATTCCCACTTTGGAGCCCAAGGCCTTCCTACAAACACGAGGCCACTTCCCATCTTTATTTAAATTTTTTTTTTTTTCCCCCAATGTTTTACTTTCAGAATATCACCACGAGCAGCTCCAAAGTCTGGGGGGACTTTCTGCCAGTTGTGCTGCTCTGGGAATTTGCAATTCAGCACGGAGCCCCTGGATGTGCCAACTCCAGTTGGGAGCTGCAAATTTCACGTGCAAAGGAACTCAGAGGTGCCTTGAAATTCTCCTGCTCTCAAGAATCCCGTTCCCACCTCTCCTTCGGCCTGGGCAGACTGACATTGCTGCCTGTTTGCACAAGCAGCCACATCAGCACAGAAACAAACATCTGACCTGTGCCAAAACACAACCAAAGTCTCCATTTAAGGGGACAGAACTCAAGGCTGAACTGCAAAATAAAACCAGTGTGAGAGGCTGGAACTGAACAAATGGTCACATGTAAGGGTGTGAAAACGAAAAGATATTTTGCTTACAAAGGCCATTTATTGGGAAATTTTCTTCTTTGCTTAGGGCACAAAATTCTGACCAGCAGAGAAGGCAAAAGCACGTGAATGTCACTCATGTCTTGAATATATTTACCTGTTTTCACCTCCTTCATTCTGCTAAGTTTTTGAAATCAAGAATTCAACTTAAGTGCTACTCATCAAAAAAAAAATGAAGGAGGAAAAATGCGTGGCACCTCGGGAAACTGTGAGTTAGAAATGAAATGACATTGAAAAAAACCAATTTAAACAGAGGTTGAAAATCCTAAATGTCAGTGTGAAAATCAGTCCTATGACCAGCGTGGGAGGGATGAACTTCACATTCATCAGCCCCATCCTGCCATCTTTGATCCCTTGCTGTCTGGGTGCTATTTCTCAATGATTAACAGCTAAAAGTTTTTTTTTTTTTAGGTGAACAACCTCTCAGTTATCAGGATTTTTGTTACACCTTTTCTTTCACCCCAGAGCTCGGCGATCCCCCCACTTTTACCACGTGGTTTGACCTTCTCTTGTTTTGGTAACACCTGTCAACTCCAGCCACCAACAAATTACCTCTTTTCTTTTTTTTTTTTTTTTTTTTTTTTTTTTTTTTTTTTTTTTTTTTTTTTTTTTTTTTTTTTTTTTTTTTTTTTTTTTTTCTTTTTTTTTTCTTTTTTTTGTTGACATGGATAATTAAAATGCTAATCCAGGTTGGTGCCTAAAAATAATCCTTGAGAAATTACAGTGGAGATCTCCTCCGCTGTAAATTCTCCTTTACAACACAATTTCCCATTTAGCCACGTCCTAATCCCTTCGTAATCACTTTATTCTGCTCCTCTAATTTCCCATGTGACAGAATATCAGACATATCGCCACAGTTCCACGAGATGAGGGTTAATGTCTTTTCTTTGTTCTAGAACAATCTGATATCTTTTCCAAGAAAATCACGCTCTTAAGGCTGGGAATGACCTGATTTAGACTCGTTTTCCACCTCTCTATCTCTCCGATCACTCCATTTATTCCTTAAAAACCTGTTTATTTTTGCACTCACAGACACATCAGACTTTTGGGGGTGGTTTTGCATGGTAATTACAGGGATAAAATTAAGATTACTGAGTGGTTCTGCGGGATTTAAGTTTTACTCACTTGTTCCACCCCCAGGGCTGGTGAGGACCAGGGAAGGATGAGGTGCTTCCATGCTTTTGTGCAGCGTGGCCACAGCAATGATCTTCCTCTTGTGGATGCATAGCTTGGTGACATCTTCATCTGCCTTGACATCTTCAGCAGTTCTCTGCTTCACAGCAGCTCCAGGATCGAAATTAAACACCTGGGGGTGAAAATTCCAGCGTTTAAACGACGATGACGGGCACAAAACTCACCAGACACACCTAAATTTGACACAGGACACACAGGAATTTTCCCTCTGGTCCTCAGAGCTCTTTGACTGCTCCTACATCGCCCAAGAGGGGGGAAGGCAGAGGGGAGATTAACTTTTGGATTTCAGGGTATAACTCTGGGTGGACACTAGTTGTTTTATAAATACATGTATCATGTGAACAGAGGTCAAGCCATGGCATAGCACATCAGCTGGCATCATAAATATTCCAGTAAAGACCCAAAATGCTGCTTTTGCTTTACCTTGGGAAGAACAAGAGGACATTCTAGGCCACACTTGCACGTTCCATCAGTCAGCAAGTAAGTCTTCACCTGCTCCAAGCAGGATAATAAAGACCCACTGGGACTGTAAAGGAACAGAAATGATGAATAAAAAGCTATTGGATAGGTCATGACTTGCACCTGCCAGTTTAAAGACTCACAAGGAGAGCTGATATTTACTGTGGTTTTTTTTTTTATATTATTTCTTGCTTTTTGTCAAGAATTGTAACGATACTTATTAAAAAACACCACCACCACCCCCCTCAAACATATTTTAAAACTATTTTAACTGAACTGTTTGTCAACGAAAAGATCCAGGGATTCACGAGGTTAACCCACTGGGTTTGTTTTCAATGGCAGTTGTAAAATAGCCCCATTTTTAACACAAAAACTACCCAAGTGGAATAGTTTGGATCAGGAAAAACGCTGGAGAGTCGAAATTCCAAACAAACCGCCTAAAACCCGCCGCGGAATCGTCTCCTCCCGCGCAGGGACCGAGTCCCGGCTAAAGCAACATCTGCAAGCGACACTTCCAGCTCTGCTGACAGTTCAAATCAGGGATTTATTTGCCTGGAATGGTTATTTTTGGAAGAAGTGCTCGGGCTGAATGTGTGTAACAGTGACAGTTTGGAGGGTGAGGAAGATGAAAGAGCAAACCTAAAAATAGGCCTGAAGTGACAGGTCAGGAAGTCAAACCTTGCCTGTCTGGGAGCCTTGGGGAGGAGGGGGAAAACTACTCTTGATTTCAATTTATTTGGATTTCAGCTCCAGACTGCTTAAACCACGGTCCCTTTGGACTTTGCCAGCCTGTCCTGACTGTGCTCAGCTCCACACTGGAAGATGGAACAGCTTCTTCCCGCGGGATTTGCTCCGGACCATCCCATCTGCACCCGGAATCTCCACAGACGCTTTCTGTGGTGCCTAAAAAATTTCACGTTAAATACGCTCTGGAGTCAGGATGTCCTTTTATTTGCACTGCCTAAATGAAAAAAGGTTCCTTTTTCTGGGATATTTCTGGAATAAAGCAATCTGAAATAACCTTCCTGTGCAGTTTGCCTGGACACACATGACCACTTCGGGCTCGAGGAGATCCTGGAGCCTGGAAAAAAACCCCCACACTGTGCTGATGATCAGAGGGTGTGAAGGAAGGTCAGTGCAGTGGATCTGTGGGACGTGGGATCCACCATCCCTCCTGCACACACAGCCAGGGTTACCTGTCCACAAGAAACCACCAGATTTTTAAAAAAAAAACCAAACATTTTTTTCCCGTTCCTGGGCCGAGCTGTAACCGCACAGTCCCTTCTGTGTGCACAGATCTCCTCACACTTCTAATTGCACAGGATAATCCACAGCTTCCTTTGTAAGAATCCATGGAATCAGGGAATGGTTTGGGTTGGAAGGGACCTTAAGCTCATCTCATTCCACCCCCTGCCACGGTGGAACACCTTCCACCAGCCCAGGTTGCTCCAAGCCCTCACCAACCTGGCCTTGGACACTTGCAGGGACGGTTCAGGCCCTGCTTTAAGGCAGCAGCACAGCCCTGAGAATCAACTCAGTGCTTTTACCAGGTAATAAAAACTAGTTAATTAATGGATTTAATCTTGATTTAATCCAGAGCAAGCGCTGCCAGCTGCCAGCAAAGCCTGTGTGCTTTACAGGGGAGCACAAACACAGAGTCTTTATTCAGCTGGGATCATCTATCCTGCTTAAACCATGTCAGATCTTAATATATCCACTAATTTTCCCTCGGATAGCTGTGGAGTCAATATTGTTTGACCTTTCCCTGTCTCCATAAATGCTGTGCACACGTCGGGGCAGAGCAGGATTCAATCCTTGGAGATGCAGCTGCCCTGGCTGAGCCCTGTGGATGCTCCATGTCAAAAGCAGGAGATGGGACTGTTTGACTTCCACCCTCTAACCACGGAATTAAAGGATAAAAAAAACCACATGGTAAGAGGGCAGAAAGAACACAACCACCCCCAAAGCTGTAGGAAGTGCATGAAACTTAGACCTGCAGAAAAACCAACTTCAAAAGCAGGTGGGATCACGAGGTACATAAAAATCCCAAAGCACTTTATTGTCCTGGTGTCTGGATTTAAAGATTACTGGGAAAAAAAAAAACCCAAACTAACCCAACTGACCCAGAACTTTTCCTTTCTCATTGATTTTGAACTCAGGCCCAGTAAATTAGAGCTGTAATGAGAAGTGCAAGGGGAAGGCGATTTCTCTCCTGACACGGGGTATCGCTGCCACGGACTGGGTTTGATTTCTGCTAATTGGGAACATCAACAAGAAATCCCGCGATGCATCTGATCTTTTATGGTGGTTTAGTGTAAAATTGGAGCGGGGCTTTGGCTCATTAGAGGGTTTTGTCTTGGTGATACATGAAATGTTGGGAAGGACCGGCTATTTTAACGGAATGAGATTAAGCAAATAACAGACTGATCATCAGGTGGACCCTTGTGATGCAAACCTGCTCTGCCCACATTTTTGTTAAAGCTGACTCTGATCTTTTTTCCCAATAGCAGTTAATTTACAGCCTGTTTGTCTGAACGCATTTATTTAACACCAATTTCACTGCATTTCTTCGTGACCGTTCCGGGGTGAGGCAAAACAAACAAAAAAAAATCCGATAAGCTACAAAAATAAACAAATAAAGGAGCTAAAACTTCGGATTCAGGCTCATGTTCCTGTTTCTTTTCCCACAGGAGAGATGTGAAGAACCCACAGGAGTAAATCTCGCTGGAGAACAGCAGCGACACTGAACACAGAACTTCCATGGACATAACCAAAATGATGGTTTTTGGAGCTACTGAGGAGCCACAAAAGTCCTACAGGTATTTAGTAGTTACGTAACTTAAATCCCCTTTCAAAAGAATCACAGAATCTTGGAATAATTTGGGATGGAAGGGACCTAAAGATCACCCAATCCCACCCCCTGCCCTGGGCAGGGACACCTTCCACAGGCCCAGGGTGCTCCAACCTGGCCTTGGACACTTCCAGGGATCCAGGGGCAGCCACAGCTTCTCTGCCCAACCTGTGCCAGGGCCTGCCCACCCTCCCAGCCAGGAATTCCTTCCCAATCTCCCATCTCACCCTGCCCTCCCTCAGCTTCAAAAACCCCCTTGGAAAACAACAGGCCCGTGAAGTTCTGGAGCACGAGCAAAGGAGCTGAGTCCCACATTTACAGCAGAATCCACTAATTTAACCCCAAAACTCCAAGAGCAAGGAAAGCAGATGCCCCTGGGGCCACCTTACCTGATGTAGAGAACTCCACTTTGGTCCACCCGCCGCTGCCACCCCACGGGAACTTGCACTGCCGGTGGCCCTCCGTCCGTGTCCCCTCCGTCACACTCCTTCCCACCGTTCATTTTCCCGTTTCTGGCTCAGGAGTCTCCAGAGATATCAACAGTGGGCTGATATCCTCCTCCTACATGTCATCCTGGCCTCCCAGAGCAGGCCCTGCAGCTGATCCCAAACCAGACAAAGTGCACCGGGAGGCTCCAGCTCAGTTTGAAACCAAGTCCTTCCGAGGGGCCATTTTCGGTCGAACGAGTCACTCTCCCATTATAATCCACATTAAATATGCAAGGTTTAAACTCCTTATCTATTCATAAGGACGAGCTACAAGGGATAAAAATTAGTGCTTCCGACTTGGGAAAATCATAATTCACCAATCCTGTGGTTACCTGTCAGAGAGGAGGGGTTTTTTTTTTTGGGGGGGGGGGAAAGGAGGGTTTTTTTAGTTCCCCAGGGTGGCTCCGAGCTCGAGGACCGGCCCAGGGAACTTGGACTTGGTGACAGCTCCTCTCATCTTCTACAGGCACGAGTCAGACCCGACCCCTCCAGGTGTTACAACACCCCTTTCTGGGCCACATCCTTTCTGCTTGCTCTTCGCCTTCTGCTCGCTGTCCAAGTTGTCTTCTTGAGCTTCTTTCATGACTCCTTGGCTCCAGTGAAACAGCCTGGAAAACACGGATGGGGAGGTGTTTACAGCTGCAGGCATCTCAAAGGGCTTAAAATCAACGTTTTCAATGGCAGTGGAACCACTAAAACAAGGCTTGGGGTAAATATAAACCTGCCAGCAAATTCTATTTACAAGTGCATCTTAGAAGGAGCAAGAGTGAGGCTGCTGTTGCACGGTTAATGTGCAGTTTGGGTGAATTAAGGGACGCCTCTTTTCACTGAGTATTTTTTTCACGTATTCTTCTGTTCAGAACTACCAGCAGATGACTAAATTAACGCCCTTTAAAAATTGTTTATAAACCTGAATGAATTTAATGTGGAGGGAGCTGCTTCCGGGCCGGGTAATATCCATAAAAATGGGAAACCGCTGCATTCGGATTAAATTTAAATAATCATCTTTCCAAAAATTGTGGCATAAAAAGGGAAAATGCAGCATCAATGCACTGATCTCTGAATACCTGGGAAACAATCTGAATATGCCCAGGAATAATTCCCCCCCACACTATGATTTAACTCTTCATGACAGAAGTTCAGAATGATGATATTCCCCCAAAATGATGTTATTTCCCCAAAAACAGCTCTCCAAGTTGACCAGGTGAGGCTGAGCTCTTGAGCCTGGGCAGTTTGTTAGGGTGAGACAAACATGGAGCAGGGGATTGAGACAGCAATAAACAGCAAATCCTAAAATTAAAAATATAAGAGGCACTGATGATGGTTTTCTTTGGGATCACGTGTCAATTCTGCCTCGTTCCTGACACTCCTGTTATGCCAACACGTTAGGACACAGTAAATGTTACAGACCTGACTAATTTTAGTAAGAAAAGGTGGTGTTTTTTTAAGCTAGAAATGGAATATAAAGACTTAAGATCCCAGATTTCTGCATAACACCACAGTAAATCCACATTTAACAGTAGCAACAGCTCCTTCCTTCAAGGCCACTAAAGGAAGACTGGAGAGAGGCACAAATACCGTCCTGGGAATGGTTCCCTCAAGCCCCCCCAGCACAGAACATCCTCTTTGGATGTGCCACTTGAAAATGGAAAGCTCCAAATGCTCCATGGGGAAAGAAAAAATCCCTGGAGCATTTCCCGGGATGAGGAGCAGGTTGGGAAGAGCCAACACAGGGACACCTTGTCCAAACAATCCAGCCTTCAATCCCTCGGTCTGCGACACAGGAATAGGATTTGGAAGCTCTTGGCAACAGTTCAGGGCTCGCCCAGGTTCTCAGATCAGGAATCCTGGTGCTGGATTGGTTTTATCCTGATTAAGGAGGGAGCAGATGATGTTCCATCCAATCCAATCCAATCCAAGGCCGAATTTACCTTATTGCTGAATTCACTGCAAGTCCCGTGGGAGGCTAAAATAGGGGAATAATTTCCCTGTTCCTCTGAACGAGGATTAACCTTCTGTGACAAAGACAACACCAGGAGTCACAGATTTAAAACACTGGGAGCACAGGGGACAGGGAAAGTTGCTCAGCTCAGCCCTGCCTTGCCATGTTTTTATGAAAGAGGGCAGGTTTAGATGAGAGGTCAGGGAGAAATTCCTGGCTGGGAGGGTGGGCAGGCCCTGGCACAGGTTGGGCAGAGAAGCTGTGGCTGCCCCTGGATCCCTGGAAGTGTCCAAGGCCAGGCTGGAGCAATCTGGGCTGGTGGAAGGTGTCCCTGCCCATGGCAGGGGCTGGAATGGGATGATCTGTAAGGTCCTTTCAACCCAAACCCTTCTGGGATTCTGGGATTCTATGGAAAGTAAGAATTGATAAAGTGGAATTTATGACATTTATTTGTTCTCAGCTCTTAAATGTTTCAGGCATTAATGGCTAAGGAGCAAATTCCACGTGGATTTCCACAAAGTGCAGGCAGCAAAGCCCCCAGTCCTTACAGCACCCCCTGCAATGGCACAGGGAAGAGGTGCCCATCCATGTTTTGGCACAGAAATCCACCGCTAATCCCCACGTGTGTTATTTCATTTAACTCCATAACACCAGACCAGGGACTTACAACTCACCAGGAGGAGAGGGAACAACCTCAGGCTGTGTCAGGGGAGGGGCAGGTTGGACATCAGCAGGAATTTCTCATGGAAAGGGTGGCCAGGCCCTGGCAGGGGCTGCCCAGGGAGGTTTGGAATCCCCATTCCTGGAGGTGTCCCTGGCACTCAGTGCTCTGGGATGGGGGACAAGGTGGGAATGAGGCACAGGGGGGACTCTGTGACCTTGGAGGGCTTTTCCACCCTCAGTGATCCTGGGATTCCATGAATTCCATGACTGCAGAAAAGCCCCATCTCTCGATGCACCATTTGCCCTTTCCCCATCCAGAGGCTCCCTGTGCAGCCCCTTGGACTGGGATGGAAAGGAGCTGATGCTGGAGCAAGCCCAAGGAATTCCTGACACTGGATCGCACCCAAAGGCCTGACTCTCATCAGCCCCTGCAATAAACACCTCTCCCCCACAACCTCCCCGCAGCTCCAGACAACCCCTCTTATCTCCCCACAACGTTCCACACCCCAATCCCTGACTCCCTTCCCCCGGGAGCCAGGACATGCCTTTTAGATTTGGGGGTTGCACTCCAGGTTCATTACAATATCCTTTGGAATATTTCACTGGAGAACTACGCAAAAAACGACATCGAATTCTTCCCCCTCCCAACCCCCCCCCTTGGAAAATTTCTCCCTAATTTTCATATGCTGAAGGTATGTTTTCAATTTTTAATGTGGCTCTCTCACTCTAGTATTTTTTTTTTTTTTTGAAATGTTGCGTTTTAGGGCCTCTCTGCACACTCAGCTGTTCAGGTTTGCTTTAACAACTCCTTTGGTCAAGCGGGGAAAAGAGGAAACTTGGTATGAAAGTGAAAAAAATTTGAATTAGATACAAATTGTCTTGAGTTCTGATCTGTTCCTTATGATGTGATTAATATTTATTTTATTAATGAAGGGGCACATTAAGACAGATTTTGACAGTCTGGTATTGCAAAAATATGGAATCATCATGGAATCCCAGGATGGGTTGGGTTGGAAGGGACCTTAAAGCTCATCCCATTCCACCCCTGCCACGGGCAGGGACACCTTCCACCAGCCCAGCCTGCTCCAACCTTTTGAGTAAAGAATTTATTCCCAGCAAAATATAATCTAAATCTCCCCTCTTTCAGTTTAAATCCATTCCCCCTTGTCCTCCAATTACTTTTGATGCTCCACTACTTTTTTCCCCCCTTGAACTTTTAGTGGTGCCCAACAATTCCAGGGATCACAGATCACCTATGGAATGGCCACATTTTGGGAATGAAGCTCTGCAAACCCTTGGAACACACACCAAACACCCCTTGGGGACACAAAAATCACACCCTGATTTTTGTGGCTTCCCTTTGCAGCACAGAAAAACCTGTGAGAAATGAGAAACCAAATCAAATTATCGGGGTTTTAGAACCAAGAAGAAATTTTACCTTCTTACAAAGCATTATTGGCCATCCCCTCAGAGTGAAAAGGGGTTTTCAGTTGGTTCTGGCTCTCACATCATTAATCTGTTGAAGTCTATCAAAGCAATCAGCTGGGATTCTCCTCTATCATCTCATCCCATGCAAACGCTGCATCACTTTTTGGGAACTGCTCTCCCACTCGGAAAAGCAGCTTTCTCCCGACTAATTAGACCAGTGGTGAATATTTGATGAATCTCCTATTTTTAGGAGATGATTCAACCAACAAAAGTGTAAAGGAAACCTTCCTTCCTTCAATCTTCCCTCGTTGTGTTGGTCTCTGGGACCACTCCACGGCTGGACACGGGATTTCCACGGGATTTCCACGGGACAGAATCCAGCTTTTGGGCTGAAGAGACACCTTTATCTTACTCCTAAATACTCATTATTGAGAATATGCTGCCAGCTCTGAATAACTGCATTAAAATAATACATTTGAATCCACCCTTTCGAGACCTTCCACGTGCCCAAAACACTCAGAGAGCGTCTCTGAAAGGGTTTCCACAGGTAAAAAAATAAAAGCCACACATCCATAATAATAAAAATAATTTAAAAAAAAA